TAAAAAGGCATCAGCTGAATGGGCCCCAAATTTAGCCTATTTTTCTTTTGCTGCATTGAGGCATTCACTGGAATTCAGCAAGTTCTTGATCTCATGTCCGAAGAGACTGTAGCTGTTTTCTATGACAAGCAATGATGAGAATAATATTGACTGTTTTAACTTGAACCCACATATGGGTCAGAGTCAACTGTACGCTGACAACAGGCTTTAGCGATGCTGTCCTAAAGCCAGAAAAGGCACTGTCCATTTGGGTTATGTTTAATCGATTAAAGAAGATCAATGAGAGTTTTACACTGTAATTGTTTTATATATTTTTTTTAATATTTTATCTGAATGCTTGTGTGCATCAGAAACTGATTTACCAGGCTTAGCGTCCGATTTCTCGTTAGATAGATCCACCCTGGCTGAACTTCTTACAGTGTTACCTGCTGGTTCTTTATACCTTCAAATGTTCATGAGACAGAAAAAGAGGGAAAGGGAGAAGCAGTAGTTGTCAGTTTGTCTGTTTACGGATTAAAGAAGTATCAGATGGTCATGAACAGCCAGACCTTGACCAGCAGTGAAATAAGAGCATTTTAAGAGACACAAGTACCTTCAGGAAGAAACCCAGCACATTCTTTACACATCGCAAGAGCTACACTCAAAATAAAAATAAAAAATCCAAATGATGGCATCAGAGCTGCTCCAGGCATATTTTAATGGATTGGGTATTGGCTATATCAGGACTGGGCACATTTTAGGGGGCAGGGGCTCAAGGGGGGAAAAAGGGAAACAAACATGAGTTACACTTCATTTAATTTACTGTATGTGGTAATCACTCATGTTTCAGATAAAACCAAAAGATTTTCCAGAGGCAGCCAAAAACATTAACATTATTATCTAAGCAGGGATTTGATCCCAGTCGCCAGCATGTTACTGTGGTGTTACTCATTACTCTATTCAATCGCTTCATAGGGCAAGGATTTAAGAACTCGGTGTAGCAAGTTATTAACACCCCTTATTGCTGACATCATGTTTTGATTCTTGTTCAAAATAATCACATTATATGATGTGGCTGGGTCCGTGTTACTTGACGATTGGCGGCAATTTAAGGCAATTATGAAATACAATCATTGTACATACCAAAGAGCATTTATACAGTCACACACCTTTAATCATAAAAGGGTTCTTTGAGTGTTCATGTTTCTATATAGAACTATTTTCTTTTCTAAAGAACCTTTTGAATAACCATCAAGTATGCAGGCTGATGCCAATATACTTCATGTACATGCAGTCGTATGCAAAATTTGAACACCCCTAGTCAAATGATAGCTTTCATTGTTTTCTAAGTGAAAGTAAGTTAAAACATTCTTTACAACATTTCCTAGATAACACATTGAAATACGGCAATTTTTTGCTAATTTTAGTGGACAATTTCTATTTTTGTGATGAGTTTAACATATAAAAAACATAAAACATAAAATGTACTATAACTTTTGTACAGGTCACATTTATCCCTCCAATATGAATTCAGAAAAAAAAATATTGTGCATTAAAATGTGCAGAAGGTGTTAACTTACTCAACTGTAGCTGTGGATGCTGATAAATGAGGAAACTTAGACTAAACACACCTGGATTAGCATTAGAGAAAAGTATCATTTTTTTTCCATATACAGTAAAATGAATCTAATAGTTTTACTATCTTTAATGTACTTAAGGCAGCTGCGTTATCTTTGAAAATACAGATATCTGATTGGCCCTGATATAGGCTGATACTCAATATTATAACACTAGGATGGGGACCACAATAACTGAAACGAGGCATCTCTAGCAAGAGCCATATCACAAGGCTGCATATCTAAGAAAGAACAAATTGAAAAGCAGGGTTAGATGTGGTAACACTTAAAAAGAGACATTAACAAACACAGCCAAAGGCTCTGATCAAAACAAGCAGAGCAACTCAAAACAGACAAACACACACATGCACACGCAGCCAAAGTGGAGCCAGTCAGTCATTTTGTTCCCGTTTTGTTTACGTGACACGTACGAGGATGATTAATTGGAGGGCTACGCAGCAGCTGTTGTCTCATAAGGGCAAAAAAGCTAAATCTAATCAATGTGAAATATGAGTGGGAGGACATATGCTAATTAACCTACCTAACCGAGACAACACTCTGCATAGCAAGGACTTGTATTTTTTTGCCATTTGCTTCATTCAGTGAGTGTCTGAATACCCATTAATAAAGCACACTGGTCTGTTCTATAAGACTTTGTCCCCAGTAGGATTAACTGCTCTTTAAGAGAAACAGTCATTTAAATTGAAGCTCTTTGAGCAGCAGTACTGTAGTCCTATTTGAATTTTGATGCAGGGCTGCTCTGGTGGTTGAGTCATAATGCACGGCCGGCTCGTCTTCAGCACGAGTCATAATTTGCATAGACAGAACCATAGGCCGGTTGTGGCAAGCTAATGCAAACTCCAACCTGATTTTAATGAGGTCAAATGCACAAAAGGGAACTTTAACGTTTCCTAAAGAGATGTTGGGAGAGGTACAGGACACGGAAACGAATCACATGGGGAATCAGAGTGAAAGTAAATGTAAAGCTGATTTCAAACACAGAAGGAGAAATGTTTCTGTGTATAATTGTGTTTTGTTAAATGGATAACCATCATTACAGATGGTGTTCTGATATTGATGGTTATCATAATGTGACCAATAGTACTACTATTTTGGAAACAGATGTTTTTCTTTGGACAGTGACAATACATCAAACAGAAAATTACACAGAAGCCTCAACAATGTTTAAGTATTCAGTGTGTCCCCAATTTACCCTTATTACAACTTCCATTCATTTTAGGAGACATGCTTTCAGAGACATTTCAGGGAATCTGCAGGGATAATTTTCCACACTTCCAAAGTTCAGTCTTAGAAGTTGGTTGTATTTTCTCACGATCCAAGTAATCCCAAACACGTTCAGTGATGTTGAGGTCTGGACTCTGGGGTGGCCTGTTCAGTGTTCTGAGAACAGCAGCAGCTTGATTTACAAATTTTCTTTTCTCAGTAACAACTTCATAACACATCCTTTTCAAGCACTGAGTTGTCTTCTCACAGTGGAAGGATGGACAGAAACACCTGGGGATTTTCCAGATCTGAAGTAAGAGTGGAGCTTGATTTTCTCCTCTCTCGCAAAGATGAAAGCTTTAAGTACTGTGTATCTCACGGTGACAGTTTTGGTCTTGGACAGTTGTTAGGAGTCCCATGTTCTCTATATTTTAAAATATTTTTTTAAATAATAATTATTTTTTAAATTACTGTTTGTTTCATTTATTTGAGTTTCCTCTTCCTTATGAAACTAAATTATCTTTTATCTTATTGAATGGAAATTAAATAAATGAAGGGTGGACTTCATTTGCACGGTACTATAGCTCATTTTAAAGCTTAGTAGTTTTTATATCTGATACTCAAGTAGTTAGTATCGGTTTCAGAAAAGAAAAGTGGTATCTTGCCATCTCTACATGATATACTGTTACCTTTAAAAAAATGGACAAAAGTAAAGACAAATTTCTGCCTTCAAGATCGCTGCTACTCCTGTTCCTTAGCTCTGCGATGTACTTTTGTCTATTATTATAGACAATCAATCAAAGATCAGTGCCAAGAACCGCGTAAGTAAATGTATTCGAGATTACTTAACAACTCCATACATGATTTAGGCATGCTGTTTGCATGATGCTGAATGGCAACATCCAATACATGTTAGCTGTATCAGCCTTGTAGCTCCAGTGCAAAATTAAAGAAGCATGCCAAACCTGTGTTGGCTGATCAGTTATATTTGGGGGTAAAGAGAATTTAATTTAAATTAAAACCATTCCTTTAATTTACAAAGTTTAGAACAGAATGCTTCATGTGCTCTTCGGGTCACATGGTCATTGCTCTACAAGGCTTCTAAAAACACTCCTAGTTAAGCTGTGACTCATCTCCTGACACTATGTTTAAAACTATGTTTAGCTGAGGTTTGCTGATTTTTGTAAATGGATTAGGCTGCGTTTATGGATACTGTTAGTCATTTGGCATGTCTGCCTCTTTGGCTGTCCGAGACTGCATGCCTTTAGCAATGCAGCCTGCTGTATTCAGTCAGCACTTAGTGGAATACAGTCCTCTCTGACCATTTCAGTGAACTGCCCCGTGGCCTAAGAGATACAGCACAGCTTCTGTCAGAAATGGCCCAATAAAACCTTGCCACAGAAAGTGACGTGCTTTTTGGCACTGAGCTGGGGCTGGAACATTAGCTTCACTTATTCTGCTTGCGCCTGGGCTCACCCTGTATGTGGCACTGGCTTGTTCTTCTAATGGCCTTCAACATGAAAAGCACATCATCTCTCAGACTGCGATGCTTCCACATTGGAGTTTAATAAGTTCAGAAGTCATTTCAGTGCAGACAGCACAGTATTCAACTCTATTTGATCTGTTCTGCTTCAGGCCGAACACTGCGACTCCTCTATACCATACCATGTCACTGGCCAACGATGGAAAAGGAAAAAGAAATATTTGCTGCAGGAACAGCTATCTGATTTACTCCAAGCTGTTCTGATGATAACTATGGGTGTGCTTTCCCTCCAACAACATTCATCACACATCATATATGAGCAGTTGTTTCTTGTTTATTTTCTTAGGATTAATCTATGCAAAAAAGGGGATGTAGCTGTGTAAACCGCTAGGTCAAACATTCTTTATCATTGCTCAGCAGAACCCTGCTTTTCAGAATGAATCTGTAGATGCAGTAAAAATTTCCTGGCAAGCACAGCAGAGGAGAGCTTTGGGTTTTGTCAACACGTTCATGTCTAAATATTATTTACATGAATATTTGTTTCAATTTAGCAAAGAGGTCTGCTGACCTTCAAAGTTTTTAAGGCACTTGAGGAAAGGAAAGTAGCAATGTGTGCTCATGCAGATGTAGGAGTAATCTCTTTGGTGCACTCACTAACGCTCAGTCTTGAACCGCGAAGCAATAAAACATGAGTTTACCTTGGGTGTTCTGGAATATTTCCCTGTTCTAGCATCCTTGATAGAAGAAATGTCCAGAAGGTCTGTCTCCTGCAATTACAAAGGTAAAAGAATGTTCATATGACACAGATTCAAGACCTTTTGTCTATTGTGCACAACATAATTTGATTCCACAATTCACCATCAACCTGAAATGGAGGTGAGATTATGGTAGTTTACTTTACGAACTGCTACATAACAAGAGCAGATGTGAAATCAAAACACACTACCCATTTAAATAGTCTTTATATTAGTGCTGTCATACGAAAACCCTGTATCTCTGCAATGGTAACTTTATAACAGAAGGAAAATTAATTGATCATGATCATGTAGTCAGCATGTAGTCTTGCAGGCCATGTTTCTGCTCACAGATCTGCCTACTTTGACAGGAAAGGGTCGCCTGACTGACATTCAAAATAACAAACCACAGGCCGTTGTTTTGTGGGATGTGAGGGGTAGAACACTTTTAAACTGGGCTATCTGTATTACCTCATATATAGAATATATTGTAGTTCTATACATGTTGTAGCCCAGTTTACCCCTCACATCCCACAAAACAACGGCCTGTGGTTTGTCATTTTGGATGTCATATATACACACATACACACATCCTTCCACTGTGAGAAGACAACTCAACACTGAGTCTGAAAGGATTTGCCGCTGTCAAAAAGCTTTTACTTTGAAAAGGAAATAAAGAAAAAAGAAGAAAACCTGCAAATCAAACAAAGAAGCCGCTGTTGTTCTCAGAACAATGGACTGACCACCCCAGAGTCCAGACCTGAAATTCCTTGAATGTGTTTGGGATTGCTTAAATCGTGAGAAGCAGAAAATGCAACCAACTTCTAAGACTGAATTTTGGAGGTGTGGAAAAATATCCCTGCAGATTTCTTTGAAAAACTGAAAGCAAGTTACCTGAAAAGAAAAGAAGCTGTAATAAAGCCAAATGATAGTGGTTCTCAAATCAGTCATCAGGTAGCACCAGACAATTCATATTTTGTTAATCCCTTTGTGTTGCAAAAGTCTGGAACATGTGGGGGTCCCTGAGGACTGGATTGAGTATCACTGCACAAAATACTGAAAAACTGATATCTTTTGAGGGTTTTTGTGTATTTTTTCTGTTAAATGTATGTTTTCTGCTTTTTTCCTGACACTGAAATATGAACAACTTGCTATTATTGACCATTTTAGTTGGAAATTTAATAAACGTAGGGAATAACGTAGTGATCTCTAACTTTTGACAGTACGGCGAGTACTGGCAGAAGGACTGAAGTGTAGTTGGTCATGCTATCTGACGTTTGTGCATGCATGTGTGCACGTGTACTTCATGCAGAACTGACCTTCTGTGGGCTTGATGGGTATGTGTCCTTTGGTACCCACAAAGCTGTATGGCTGTATGACTGTAATGGAGCTAATGAAACTTCAGTCTGAGAGTGCTATGACAGGATGACATCTCAAGATGATTTAACTGAAGCTCCAGCCAGACAAGACACTCTATAACCACATCTTAAATACCACAGCGGCTCCAAATGGTGGACTAGACCATTCTGTAAGTACCTCTAAAGATCTATTATTGATGGGGTGAGAGAGAGAAAGAGCGAAAGAGAGATATGCAATGGTAACCAAGGCTTTTATGAGTTTTCCTCTGGACTTATCTTTCAGAAGTGAAATGTTAATGAACACAACTCTAACTACTTTATGAGGTTTCTCTAGCTGGAGTAATCCACTGAAAATAGCATGAAAAAGAACACGTTAGTTGATTGTTGACTTTGGTCCACATCCAACGCCAGTTTAATATCTATATATCTTCACTTTTTCCCCCACTCATAACATGAGTCTGGAGACCTGAAACTTTCACCCTGAGAGAGCGAAATAATCTGCTAGGCTCCATCTGCTGCATGGGTGACTGACTCCTGTTGTGAGCAATTAAGAACAGAGTCTGGCCAGCACTGTCTGTAAGAGCATGGCATTTTCATGGCTCATGGCTTGGATCCAGTCAGCTGTTCCACTGGGAGCCAAAGAGAAAGGTTACCTACAAAACAAATACTGCCACTGTTTTGATTCTAGAATATAATATAGAGATAAATAAGAACAGATGGAATTGCTACGGCTGCAAAAACTAAACCTAATAATAAGGTTAGAAGAGTAAATCTTTGACTTCACAATTCTATTCCATCACAGTTCTTTTGGAAACGATTCAACAAAATCTTAAATTTCACCAACATTTAACTCATTTCAGCACATTTTTTCCCTGTTACGTGAGCACATGGTTTATAGTCCCTTGACAGTCCCCTGACACAAGCTACATGCTTTTTTTAGACAATTATTGGGAAAATGTTCAAGGTTTATTTTTAATGGGAATGCTCAGTGGGAAACTAGAATGTCAAACGTTACTTCTTGATTGATAAATGTAAACTTAGAACAAAAAAAAATAAAAATTGGGGCATTTTCTCAGATGCATCTCTAAATTACACAGCTCTGGTCATGTTTACACTGCCACCATAAACATTTTCATATGAAAACAAAACAACCTACATTTTAATTTTAATGCATAGTTTACATCAAGGTCTTTTGATGTTAGTCACTGCCATCTGTGCCTAGTTTGTATTTATTTGCATTATGTATATTTTTTTTCAGCTGCTTTTGTTTTGTTGCTTTAAGTTGTTTTGTCTGCAGTTCATTGCCTATGGTATGGCTTATGTATGTGTAGCCTTTGGGTGTATGTTTACTGTAGCGCTTTGTTTATTAGAAAATTGTGTCAAAAATTAAATATTTTATTGTTATATTATTATTATTATTATTATTATTATTATTATTTTAGAACTTCGTAAAATTTCAGTGAGGGGAAAAATAATTATTTCAACTTGAGTATTTTCATACATTTTTAAATTAATTTTAAAAAGTTATATTTAAAAACACTACATTAAAACTATCCTATAAACTGTAGTCGAACACTAAATACTTCTATAGTAGTTTTTAAGAAGAAAGATCAGATCAGTATTGGAATCGGTTTCAGTATCTGTCATATCAGACAAAAAAGGTAGGAAAAGTGCCACCACGCCATCTCTATATTAGATGTTATATTTTTATGTTGATTCGTTAGAAGAAAATGACATTTAAAACCTGCTCTCCCACCCTCAAATTCCACTGCAGTATACAGACAGTATAATTGGAAATCAAGGCCTGTTCACAAATGGCAAATATATTACATTTGTCTTTGTGAAAGGACATTCAAATCAAAGCTCCAAATGCTGACACACTAGAGGTGCTCTTGAAGCAACTGTTTACATAAATATAATCTCCATTACATAAGACATCTCAGTGAAAAGGTGCGAGTAACACTACACAGTGCATAACAGATGTTTGGAGGTATTCTCATGCCTATCTGCCTGCAACTGAAAAAAGAAAAAATGACTCAATTAATAAGCATGACATTCACAACCAGCTCAACTTCTACCACGTTGTTGTAATATTCCAGACTCTGAGCGCAGTTTATTCAACAAGATTTCAAATAAGGTTTCTGCTTGTTCTCAAGTCTCTTGTGCTCCACTCACGTAGGCACACAATTAAGATGGACATTACGCAACTATCTTTGCCTTGGACCCCAAAGAATGTGGGAGATTAACCTGTCACAGCTTGCTGTTGGTTCCATGCCATCTGTATGCGCAGAGTGTGTATGTGTGTCAGAGAGAGAGAGAGAGAGAGAGCGCCCATGTCCATTACTAGACACCAAATTACACCTTTGGTGTAAAAGCAGTATACATTAGATTTTTTTGGTTAAACTATTCCTTTTATGAACATATGACAATATCAGAATCTAGTACTGACAGAAAATTGTCTTAAAAATGTATCAACATCAGATCGATGCTTAGATTTGGCTGATAATCCAAAACAATATCTGATGACGCTTTTATTGTATTCTGGAAAAACAGAATGTTTTTGCAGTGCTGGCCTGCTATAGATAGTATTTGACTGACATCACAATTGCCGCTACATTGTTGACATACCACTGGTGTAAGCTTTTATAGACAATGAACGCAGTTAACATTAGCAGGGCTCAGGAAATTTAAGCTAATGTTAAGTCAACATTGATTAATCTCATCAAACATATATACATCACTATTAATCACTTTTACAATCACGACAATGTTTGATGGTGTGGTTGATGGTAAAAACAATATTTTTGACCCCTCCACAGACTAAATAAATTATTCTAAATTATTATAAGCAAATATGTCTATTTAGTACAGACCAACGGCGCAGATCAAACTGACTTTTTCTTGATTTCTTAATTTGGAAGCCACAGCTGGCAATTACTGTTCAAACACATTATGCTGAGGGAATGTCAGCAATATGGCTGCAGGATAATTCTTCCAGGTTTTGCAAATACTATCTACACTAAAATGCCTGCATTTCATTCATCCATTCATTCAACACTACAGTACTGTAGAGTACAGTAATGGCAATATTCTGGGTATGTGATATGAATTTTCCTGCTGCTCCTTGATTAGAAACAGGATTTCTTTAACCTTTAAGCAAACAACCAAGATGAAAAAAAATATTTTTCACTTTTGTGTAAAGCGTAAAATAAAAATAATGAAAATGCTACTTACAACACAACTGTGAGTAGATTTTGTGTATTGTAAGGCTGTTAGAAAACAATCAATATCCCTGAACAGATCTTTCTAAATAAGGATAAAAACTGGGCTGAATGGTATTCCGCAAAATACCTGGAAATATTACCACAGTATACAGTATAATACCAAGTGGCTAACCGTGTTGTAACTGACGTAAAAGCATATATGTCGCTTTTGTGGTGTCTCATGCTGTGTTCCCAAACATTTGTGTTACTTCAAAAACAACGTCCCAAACATGTGAGCGCAGTGCCCAATTTCCAAGCCATCTTTCAATGAATGTCAAACCATTGTTAAACATTAAACAGTGCTGCTAACTAGGAGAAAGGAGCTTCTTAGCATTAGCTTAGCTCACATGATAACAGCTCTGCTCACCACAGAACATGCTTTAATTCTGGCTGGCTAAAGCACCGCCACAAG